TTTGAATATTTATATTTGCTGAACACTTTGTTAAGCAGTTCCTATGGATTATTTTATTTAGTCCATACAACAAGCCTGTAAAGCAGTAGTATTATTTTGATTGCCGTTTCATAAATGAGTAAAAGAAAGGTCGGCAGAGGCCTTGGCTTATAGAACCGGTCTACACTGGAGCAAGGATGTGTTGCAGTCATGTATAGGTAGGGGCAAGGAGCCCTTGGCTCTGCGTTTTCCTCTTCTGGGCTGTGCAGACATGTTGTCTACAGGCTTGGAGATCTTGGCTCATTTCTTTGTCTTTTTTCAGATTTTTACAGATTTTTTTAAATCTTCTATATCTTGTTTACACTTTGTTGCTTCTGGTTTTGTCTGAGAAAAGTTTCCAGAGAATGACTGATTTTGAGACTTTCAATACCTACTTACGCCAGGGAAGGAAATGGTCATGAGGCCGTTGTGAGTATTCTCGGTATAAATCCTGAGATTGAAGGCCTGCACTGAGTAAGCCCCTTTCCTCCTCTTTGCCACTTTACCTTTGGCACTTTGTCAGCAGTGAGGGGAACAATAAAGTGAATACTGTAATGCTTAATCATTTTCCGGCTTGTAAATGGGCTCATATCAAAAATTCCATTCTGAGAAGGGCATTTTTCAGAGCTGTTAACTCCTTCCTAAAGATGTGGTGGAAAAAGGATGGATAGATTAGAAAATAATTTTCGACTCAAAGACCCTCCGCCAGCTCTTCACTTTGAATGTGAACCTTTGGATCCTTTCCTTCACATTTGGAAATAGTTAAATGGAGGCAGGGTTGGCCTTTCTGACATACCTAGCATTTCACAGTTTACTTTAATTAAACTGTAAAAGATCTTCATTTAATGTCCTTTATTTTTCTGAGCCTTCATAACCTTGAGACTTACTTCTGTCAGTGTGTTGACATGTCCGTGGTACTTTTTCCTTGAGAAATGTTCAACAGAGAAACACTTCCCTTCTTCCTCTTTCCCTCCTTCCATTTCTCTTCCTCCCTTTCTCTCTCCCCCGCCCCACTCCTACTTATAAAATTTAAGCATAGAGAAAATCTTCCCTCCAGCCCATTACGTACCATAAGTACCTAATAACAGTGCATCTGTTCTCAAGGTTGTAAATGCAGTGTTTCTAAATGAGGTGACGTTTACTAAAAAGTAAATTTAATCTCTCTCTTAGGTTTTAACTTTTTAAAATTCATTTTGCCTTCCAAAAGAGTGCATTGTTTTTTGGAATTTATAGGGCAATTGTAAAACAGAATCTATTGTGTGCTCTACAGAGCTCTTTTCCTATTTCTTCCTGTCTCACTGCCATAGTCTCTCTATTCCTTAATCCTTCTAGTTCATTGATCTTCTACTTGCTACTTGTTTATTATCCTAGAGGTTTTATATTTCTTAGTCACTCCGTTGTTTTATAAGCCGTGTCACAAGATTATTTCATTTTACTTTATTAATCTCTTGTTGACTTCCTAGCCCTGGGTTCTTTGGTGGACTTTTTCAGAGCTCTGTGTGCATTCCTTTGACAAATAACTTTTATATCTTGTCACGTCATCTTTCTTCTGTTCACCCTCAGATTATTTTTGCCTCTTAGCTCCTTAAAAAAAATTCCCTCCTGTAAGAAGTCAAGAGGCCTCATGATATGGTTATCATAGGCTCTGACTCTTGGGCTGTGGTCTTAGGAGTGTTACAGCTTTAGCTTAGCAGATATTTACAAATGCCTGCTATGACCAACACTGTGTAAGTCACTGGAGTGGGGAGAGTAAGACTTAGTCTTTGTCCTTTCTCAAAATGTGCTCATTTCCTCATAAGAAAATGAAGCCATTGGAGTAGATAACTCCGAGTGTCTCATCTGGCTGTGCAGCTCTGTCATCCTAAAGCGCTTATATTGTAGCCTGTGTGACCTTTTAGTCCTGCACTGTTGTGTGTGCGTGTGCATGTGTGTTTCGATTTGTCTTCTTAAAAAATAGTGTCTTCTTGGTTATTTCATAGATTCATAGAATTTACAAATAAGATGACCTTTAAAAATGATGTCATTTCATCATCTCTTTCACAGGCAAGGAAACAGGCCTTGGCAAAGTTAGTGACTGTACCCAGGTCACATAGTCGGTGGCAAAGCTGAGAGAAAACCCAGATCTCTTAATTTCTAGTTCGACGTTTTTCTATCTAAGTTGGCTGTTGAAAAGTTTTCTGATTCCAAATACTTTTGACTACGATGTGATTCCTAGTTTCATACTAAAATCTGGAAGTATTTCATTGGTATGGGTAGTAATTGCTGCAGAATTTGGCCGTTGAAGCCAGTGACTGTTGATCAAATGCCTCCTACATGCTGATCATGGGCTTGCGCTTTGTGGGCATACGAAAAAAGTACCTGACATTAATTCTCTCCTTAAAGATTTTGGGAACTGAGTTGAATTTATTGAAAATTAACTTAACCAAAACTCTTTTCTTTCCCTGCTGTCTCCTTTTGATCTTGTGCCTCGCCACCACTTAAAAAAATATCTTGATTATCTTTTCTTTAACTAGCATTAGAGAAACATATATTGCTCTCTAATTATGTGCCAGGCATGGGTGTTAAGGATGCCGAGTAAATCTCAGCCTTCAGGGGCGTGCTCCCTGTGGGCTGGGCATCCAGATGACGAACTATGCAGTGCACTTCATGCAGTGATTCTCAACCAGGCCAGTTTTGCCTCTCATGAGACAATAGGCAATGTCTGGAAATATTTTTCATTGTCACAACTCGGCGGGATGGAGTGTGCTGCTACTGGTATCCTGCTGAGTAAAGGCTGTTCAACATCCTCCAATGCACAGGACTGCCCCCATGACAAAGAATTATCTGACCCCAAGTGTCAGTAGTGTCAAGGTTGAGAAGCCTAGGGATAGGTTGATAATTGATTACTATATTCAAAATTGCTCCCATGTTTTTCCTGTTCTCTGCCTGGCACTGTCCTGTTCTAGAGGCGTCCATACATCACTATTGCCCCTAGTTTGGTTTAGGGGTCTGGGAAGGCTGAATTGACTCCTGAGGACAAGAAGAAGAGGGGGACAGATATACCAAGGGAGTGGTGTGAGTAGCCCCTTGGAGGTGACGGGAATGGCTGGGGAATTGCAGGTTGCTCATTATGACTGGAGGTTGAATGAGAAGGCTAGACAGCGAGGGAGGAAGTACCTCAAGGAGAGGATGTGGAAGTAACAAAGTGGAAGCCAGAAAATGGATGGCTCTGTGTACCCTGCTAAGGCATCTGGTCTTTAAAGGCTGCAGGAACCCAGGGTTGTTACATGTTCAGATTTGTCTTTTAGAAGGGTCACTTAAGTGTTTCGAGGAGAACTAATTGGAAGGAGACAGCTAGAGATAAGGAGTAGATGGGGAGGCTTTTGCTGACATCAGGTAAGAAATGAGCCAAGGAAGTGTCAGTAGGGATGGGAAAAAAGTTGAATTCCAGAGATATTAAGGAGATTAAAAATTGGTTGGGGCATCAGGGAAGGGAGGAGCTAGGGTTGGGACATTGATTTCTGGCTTGGGCAAGCATAGATAGAAGACATGTACCACCCCTTCCCCTAGGGGAGATAGACAAGTCTCATCAGTGACAATTGCATCTAGCCTCAAGCCGAGCATCTTTTCATCAGTTCTGCATGTCGCCCCTTATGGTACAAAGGTTAAGCCAGCCATTCCAACACATCCAGCACACAAAGGTGAAGAGAGAGCAGGGCCCCTGCAATGAAAACTTCCTATGGGAAGGAGGGGACAACGGAAATACTCAGTAGCTGCTGTTTCACATCCTCCTGGAGAATACCAGGGCCCCTGCGCAGTGGCCGCAGAGTGAACGCCTTGGTTGGCCAGTTTCGCTGCTTTTGGTTGTGTTCTCTGAGAGGATCTCTTTTGTCCATTGTCCTTTGTAGCTCTTCTGGAAGGGTGTATAATTCATGTTCCAGCTCAGATGTCACCTCCTCAGAGAACTTTTCTCTGACCTCCTGGTATAAAATAGGCATCCAGTTTTTAATTGCCCTGTTGTAGCTATCGGCTGGGCGTGCATTATCTGCAATTATCTAGTTCATTTGCTTGTTTTACTGTTTCTGCCCCTGTTGTACTGGAATATCAGGTCATGGGGGTAGGAGGGGCCTTGGCTGATGTGTTCACTTTGAATCGTTAGTAACCTGCAATAATATCTGGCTCAATATATTTTTTGAAAGAATGAGTAAATGAATGACAGAAGCATAGAATGCTGAAGGAGGAACAGATTTTTTAGTTTTTATTTTTTTTTTGTTTGAGTTTTGGTGGGTGAGAGGAGGATGAATTCAGTTTTGGATATGATAAGTTTTAGGAATATTTAGGTCCAGATGTCCAATAGGCCGTTAAACATCCAAGTCCAAAGCTCAGGAGGAAAGTTACAGTAAAGATAACTGACTTTTACTGAGCCCTTCCCATGTGCCAGGCTCCATTCTGAGCACTTTACTGATCTTAGTAAAGGGGAGCTATAGATTTATGGAGGCAGAAGTTGAAACTATTGAGTGGGATGTTCAGAGAGTGTGCATCAGAAAAAAAATAGAGACAAAATCCTGGGGAAAACCAGTGTATGAGAGATGAGCAGAGAAAGAGGCTCCTCTCAGAAGCAGCGCAGCAGAGCAGGGAGAACTCTGGAAGAGTGTGGTGTCTAGGAATCCAGGGAGGGGGTGCAGGGAGGAGAGCCTACAGATGTCTCACCGAGACCTCAGCACGAAAGAAACGACGCTGGGAAGAGCTGTTTCTGGAAACCCTGGGGAAAGGAGCTAGGTTGAGGGTTTGAGAATTTAAAGTGGCCTGTGGGAAAGAGCTAGCAGAGAGGGAGAGTTTGGGAATGCCTTAAAGGGAAACAATTGTACTGCGTGGTTCCTGGGGAGGTGGGAGTTGATGGCAACCGGAGCATTGGTGGAAGAACGTCCTCAGCCCTGTCTTTTAGTTGGTTTCTTTGTATTTTCTGTAAACCTTCTGATTTTCTTGTTCTGTCATTTTCCCAGTGGAACAGAAGGCAGTAGAACCTTACCGGCCACCCTGTTTCTTGCCTGGTCAGGATGCAGTGGGGCCGGGTTGGCCACATCTACTGGCTCAGCTCCCATCAGCCGCAGAGCAGGAGTTCCAAGGAGAGTTCCTTTACTTAACTTCTTTTGCTAGGATCAGCTGTTAGTTTTGCATTTTTCCGAGTTACCATGGCTTCATATCATTGCATTTTTATTTCTTTCCACTAAGCCTGGATTGCATGAAAGCCATCTTTCACTAGTAGTCAAGCTACCAGTAGTTGAAATGGTTCAGCAATGTCCACAACTGCATGTTTAATAAGGAAGCCTAAATTACACATATAGCTTAGGAATTTAAGAATTTGCATCAACTTTTTTTTTTTTTCAGTGACAGGAATTAAGTTTCCAGTTGGGAAAATAGAGATAGTATCTTTAGAATGTGTTGTTCAAATATAAAGTGTACCTTAGTTTCCTGATACATGGATTCTAAAACTTTTCACCTTGCTTGAGATTTTCTGAATTTATATCTAGCTCTAACATGCCCATGGATAATGGAGCGAAGTGATATAGAAAATTAAGTATTTTTCTCTTTGTTGCTTTTGAAAGGAAATACATTCGATAGAAATAATTTTTAAAGGAGGATCTGACTTATTTGAAAACAGTTTCCCATAATTTTTATTGCAGCCTCTGGAGCTTAGGAAGTCATCTCTTTTGATAATCTGTTTAAAAAATGTGAACAAATTATATGATGGCATGTGAAAAGTTGACAAAAATAGTTAAAACCAGCCTACTTCATCAAAAGTAATAGTGATGCTGTCAGCAAACTGAAGCATGTTCAGTTGAGGTGTCTTGACCAACCTTGGATTCTTGCTGAGACAAAATGGCATGCAGACCTGGGAAGGAGTGGGTGGGGAGGAAGGATGATTCAGGAGGAGAGGTGTTATACGAGTTCCCCAAGACGGTCAAGTTTGGTACAGTACTCAGATTTTCAGCAATACCATTGAGTGTGTGACTGATACAGAGGTACTTAGCTCCTTCAAAGATAAAACCTTTTGCTGTTTCTCTGCTTTTTATTGTGAGGACTTCTTTACATTCTTAAAATTTATCGAACACCCCAGAGAGCTTTTGTTTATATAGATTATATTGATTGATATTTACTGTATTAGAAGTGAAAACTGAGAAAATTTAAAAATATTTATTAATTAACTTAAAAGTACCAATTAGAAATTCACTAATGCTTTTATGAAAAATAACTATATGTAAAAAAATTAGTGAGAAAAATAACATTGCTGTGCATTTTTGTCAATTTCATTAATATCTAGGTTAATCAAAGACGACTAGGTTCTCAAATCTGCTTCTGCATTCAATCTGTCATTTGTAATATTTTACTCTAAGTCATGAGAGAAGAGAGCAAAAAAGGCAAATTACATCTTTGTATTTCTAAGAAAATAGTTTTCAGCTCATGGACCCCTGGGGGGTTCCTGGACCACACTTTGAGAACTGCTTGGCTCAGTTATACATTTCTTGAGGACAGAGACCATTGCTTTGGTTTCCCTTCTTCTATTCCTTGGAGCCTGGTAAAATACTCTATGTTGACTCCTCCAATGTATTTACTGATTCAACTTTCCCCTATAAAATTCCAGGGAAAGGAACTATGGGTAAATCAGGACTGAACTTCCTGTTCAGGATGCCTTTCCCCTTATTAGTCATGCTGTAAGAATCCATCTAAGTCCTTTGACTCAGCAGCCATAGAGGTGCCACTGGACTCTTTACTCTGTCTGATGACATTGTAGACTGGTTACAAATCAAGATAAGTAGTTTAGGAAAAAATACTCCCTTTTCAGTACAATGAGTTCTAGGAAGTCTTGGCGGTTGCTGGGAGAAAGAAGCTAGAATTATTTCCTAGAAACAGAGTGAAAAAGTCTTTGCAGAAGTTTTAGGGAGCCTAGCTGGCACATGGGACCCACTCTGCTCTCCAGGAAGCATATGTGCTCCTCCAGTTCGCATTTTCTGCACCAAGGCAATGGCAGGTGGCCTGAAGAGTGAGTGGGAAGCAATAATCAGCTCTCCAAGTAACAGCATTTTCGTTTGCCAAGTGTTATGTTAATGTTCTCCAAATTTATGGTAGAAATATGCAAACTTAGGTTGAAAATATGCATACTGTTAGTTTAAGTTTTCAGACTTTTGATAAAATGTAGGTAAACAATCCCAAAAGGTATCTTAAAAATTATGTGCTAAATTTTTGCATAAAACAAATATGTGTACAACTTACATCGTTTACATCAGAGCAAAGTTATCAGCCACATCAGGAAAAATCTTTATGAATACAGTAGCATAAAAGCAGTTGCTTTTGCGTTTGACTTGCAAAGAAATGGGAGCAAAGATGTTTTAAAAACAGCATGACTTTGTCTGCTTTATCTGAATGAGTAGAGGCATTTTCTAACTGCTTGCCTGTTGGGCACGTAAGTCGTAGTGGTACACTCTTACTAATAGTCTCTGAACTTCTTTCTCTGTCCTTTTCTTCCGGGCCGTACATTGCTGCCTTTAGCGCTTCAGCATGGAAGGGATCTCAAATGTCATTCAGAATGGCCTCCGCCACACCTTTGGAAACTCAGGTGCAGAGAAACAGGTGCTCGGTTATCCTTATTTTCCTCCTTCTCTGCTTTTTCAATCTCTATGTAAGTGAAGGTCCTGAAAGCTGGCAATTTTACTAATTTACTAAGACTATTGCTTAAAAGAGAGAAATGAAAGTTCATTATATTTATAGTCTTGATAATGCATAGAATTTCCCTTTAGGAAAAAGCATTTTTCAAATTGGACAACAAACTAAATGCATTCTTAATACAGATTTTAAAGCTCCATTTTTCACTTTTACCTTTAAACAAATAGATATTAATATATTGACACAATGAATTGCATGCATCGAATATATACTTGAAAATAACTAAACTAGAAGACACTAATTCTCAAAGTCCAGGAAACATCACCTCATTTTTGGGGGAAGAAAGCCAGATGCCGGTATTTTTTTAGACTAGAGTTCTAGGTCAAAATGTCTAGAGAGTATATCTTACCTATTTTTAAATGAAATTCATGTGTTTTTAAGGTGTATCATGTCGTCGGCCAACTCGTCGGCCAACTCAGTTGTCTGCCAAATGAGGCATGAGACATTATTTATACAAAATTACATATGGCTATAAATATACAGCCACATGTGTAGCAATTTGTTTTTTATTAACATTTTTATAAGATGATTTAAGGAATATCATGAACATGGGAGACACATCTACACTGAGTGTGCTTAAAATTTCCTTTCACAATTTGAAATTTTCGCTTCAGAAAGGAAACTCTTCAGTTTAGCTCTTAAGTGAAGACTGAGAAAGTGCAGAGGGTCCCGCCTGTAGGCAGTGCGTCAGAAGAAGGCATTTGAGCCGAGGGTTTGTACTGAAGATAGTTCTGTATTACTCCAGAAGGGCGGTAATCGACATGGAATAATCCTTCCCACTGTCACCTGCAGCTCACAAAGGGCCTTCATGAAGGGTGGTTGAATTTTTGTTTTATTCTGGTGCCTCTCACCTCTCTCAAACCCACAAGATGGCAAAATAACTTACAAACTGACCCAGCACACGGGAGTGGGGCAGGAAGGCCCAAAAGCGTAGCCAGATCACCTGCGTGCCGAGGCACAGCTGCCTGACGCTCCTCCAGGTCGCCTGACACACGGGCTATTGGTGAGGCCCCAGGAGAGTATGTGTCCAACTGTTTGTGTGTTCTTTACACGAGAAAAACATACTCGGTTGTACTGTTGGGTGTCATCTTGGAGAAGTCTACACCGGAAAGATGGTAGGAGTTAAGTCTCTTAAAGACTGAACAGTTTACTGTTCCTCCTTTTCTTAGGGAACCAATTATTGTTAAGCAGTTTTATCTTGTCTTGTGATTGTGAGTGGGGTAAAAATCACTCAGAGATTAGGAATAGAGCCGAGATTTCAGGCAGGGGCTAAATAAGGTGGGTCTCAGGAGATTGCAAGGTGGGTCTGAGGAAAACCAGTGATCTCTAGATGAGCACACGGAAACTACACTGAACTATGTATTTTTTGGTGGAGTGGTCAGAATAGGGGAATCTGGACGATAATTCTAGATTATGCTTTCTTGGGACATAGTTATAGGACGTAACTCTGAGACTTACGAGCCTTTTACAGTGGCCAACGAGGCAGTTCGTCTCACTTTCAGACAAGAATTTTCATTATGCATTAGACCATTCTCTCCTTTCATTTTTCTCTTTTCCTTTAGTACCTTTAAACATTTATAACTACTTGTACAATAATTTAAAATAATAATAATAATACACTTCTAAAATTATTTGGGCAAGTTTGTCTTTGATGGCTTCTGGAAGAAGCTAGTGTGTGTTTTTAAAGTCGTCGAGTTATCTGTGTGCCCATTTTGTTCAGCTAGAAAAAAATGGTCTGAAACAATTCTTTGGCTGTTGGGAGTTATATTGTTATGCAGAACTGTTAGAACTACGTTTTTAGTTTAAAATACTATTTTAAAAATGTGTTGAAAAATATGCAAGGAGAATGTTAGATAAGACTTCACTTTGAAAATGAACAAATTGCACAAATCACCCTCAGACCTACTCCTGTAAAATTTTCGATAACTGAAAGGCAAAAAAGTGGATATTTATGTTGACACTGGACTTGTATGAGGCAGATAGAGGTGGGCAAGAAATGAGCTCTGGCTGAGATAGCAAGATACCTGTGTTCATTACTAAAGTAACTCATGTTTCATGTGATAAAATAGACTTTCTAGTGACTGTATCAACTTTTTGCAGAGAAGGTAATTCAGATTTAAGTGACACGTGCTTTTTTTTTAACTTGGCAGTACTTGACCACGGTCATTCCCTATGAGAAAAAAAATGGACCACCATCTGTTGAAGATCTTCAAATATTAACGAAAAGTGAGCAAAGACAAAACTAAACTGTTACCTTATTTATTTTTGTTGATTCTCACTACTGATTTTAGTTGGCTGATTTTGTTGTTATTGTTTTGTTTCGTCAATTTGGAACAGTTTATTCTTTTGAGAACGAAACCATAAATGGCTATGACATCAAACACAACACTAGAGTTGATTTGTATTTTTTCTGCTTTTCTTACCTTTTGAAATATTGACACGTTGACCTTTTTGAGAAAAAAGGGTAACTTGATTTTCTATCACCTCTTGTATGTTTAAGAACATAGCCATATATCAACAACCAAGGTGCTTCGTGGATCTTATATAAATATGACTGTCAGTAACTCAGTGGGAAAGATTTAGGGGAAATGCGGCCTAAAACACGCTCCTTTCCTAGGAATGTCGAACGCGAGGTAGTAGAGGTAGAACATACATTGATAGTAGTATTTTAAGAATATTCATTAATTCAGCCAATATTTAATGAAGCTCTCCTCTGTGCCAGGCCATGTTCTGTTCACTCAGGATGCTTTAGTGAACAAACAGACAAAAATATTCCACCTTCAAGGGGCTTGCATTTTCAAATAATTTGTTAGACTTAAATAAACATTATATTGAATGTCTTGTATGATAGCCATAAATGAGCCCTGAATTCTGGTTCTATCCCTGTCAGTTACAGGGATATCTTTGGCAGTCACTTACCCTCTCTTGGTCACGGTGAAAAATCGGGATAAAAGTATTTGCTCTATTTGCCTCATAGTAAATAAGTTTTAACGTATGTGGGGTTTGGGGTAAGTCACTCAGCCTTGTTTTTTTGAAGGGATTGAATTTGCCGATCTGTTAGGTTCTTTCTAGTTAAATATTTGTGATAAGTGTTAATTAAAGAGGGAACCAAATGAGAGCACATCACATGAGTGGATATTGATGATATCTGTTTTGGAAATTAAGGACATAGAGGCATGGGTTATGGGGAGCAGAAGGAAAGGAGCGAGTGACTTATTTACAAGCTGCCTGCATGCTAGCCTGAAGCTTTTATTCTTTTCTTGGTGAACAACACTTTCAAAACATTTTTTACTTAAATATGCATCAATCAGGTGATGCCAGCCAGTCTAAAATAAAGAAGAGATTAACTGGGTGCCCAGCCCGCTAATTTCCAGGAGAACTCCTGAAGTTATGAGTGTCCAGGATCACACAGGAGAATGGTTAACTACAGGGCGGGGTCTCCTGAGTCCCAGGCCACTGTGCTTTTTAATAACGCTAGCTTTTGCTATGTGATTTTTATACAGAACTGAAAACAAAGCTAAAATGTGATCGAAAGCAGAAGTACTGAACATAGTACCCCTCTAAGAAGGGAACATAAATATTGCCTGGGAGCCAGGAATTACTGAGAGACCTCGTTTTTTCAGATCAAGGACAGACACATCCTTGTCCAAACCACAGTCATCATAATTCCCAAATTGAAGTGTCCTTAGGCCAATTCTTAGATGATGTCTTCTTAGCCTGACACAATTTGGAAACTCTGGGTGATTGAAGGCATACATGTAGGGTGTGTGAATGAATGTCCATCTTAATATAGTTATGAAGACAGGATTGTTTTGCAGACAGTAGATGGAAGAATGACCTTCACTTTGAAAGTGAAAAATGTGGTTATCTCCTAAAAACTTTGGGGAGAACCTGAGCCTCTGTGGCCACCACCTGTAGATGTTAGCCACAGGGGAAGCCCAGTGGAGACCATCGCAGTGTTTATGAATATGTAGCCTTCCTCATAAAAGCTACTGGAGGTGCAATAATAATAGTAATAAGAATTACAATGATATTTGTCGTGTTAGTAATTCTGGCTAATGCTTACATATCATATATTATGTGCCAGGCACTATTCTAAGTCTGTTACATCTGAATTAGTAACTTAACACTCACAACAAGCCTTTGAGACAGGTCTAATTATTGCTCTCATTTTACAGATGAGGAACTTGGTTCACTGAGTGGTTAGGTAACTTGCTCAAAGTCCCACAGCTAGGAAGTGGCAGAGCCAGGGTTGAAACCCAGGAATGCTGACCTGACAGTCATACTATGTTGTCTTGTTATATGTCTGGGGAAAAACAGTGAGACATTTTCCCCAGGATGCTCTGCAGAAAGTTTGAGTTGGCCGTTACTGTGAAAGTGCAGTATTCCTTTGTGGGTTTATCTGTACCTGGGTGGTCTAGATTTTTTTTAACCACTGTCATAGTAGCTGTTTTTTCTCTTTTCTCTTTACTTAAAGATAAAATTTTCAAAGACTCCCTGTAGGATGAGGCTAATTCCTCCAGGTTCCTCCGTAGTATAGAGGAGTGGGCGGCCTGCTGGGGTGCTGCTGCATGGAAGTCTTTTCTGCATTTTGGTCTCTTCTTTAAAAGTTTCCAAGAAGGCTGACACATAAGCTCCTTGGAAAGTATAGCTAACTATTCACGTATCTAAGAGCTCCGTGAGCTTGTGAGACGCGGCACTGAGGTGCTCCTGTGCCCCAGAGCTCGCAGAAACGCACAGTGTGGTAACTCACTTTTCAGTATTTATGATGACAAAACGGAGGCTCTGTGTAAATAACCTCGTTCCTCTTTCCTGCCTCC